TTTGAATAAACACTGGATGGTGATCTGAGACCCCAGGAGACTGTATTTGCACAACACTATACTTCATCTCTTCCAACCAATCCAAATTTACAAAGGCCCTGTCAAGTCTTCTAGCAATAGGGTCATACTGCCTCTTATTGAGCCATGTGAACCATGGCCCAGTAGATTTGTGCTCCTCCACCTCAATTTCTCTTAACCAATCACTGAAAGACTTCATACTGGTGGAATACTATGGATTATTGGAGCCTTCACTTGGATCTCTAATAACATTATAATCCCCAACAAGCAACCAGGGAAAATTAACTACTTTAAATCTGGACACGGCAGCATAAAGTTCTTCCCTCGGACTCTCACTATTTGAAGCATACACAAACATAGCAAAGAATGGAGCCTTACCGCCAACAAGGACATGAACAAACTGATCAGAGTTGTCTATGATAGTCAACTGGATCTCAGAACGCAAAACTAACCAAATTTTCCCCAAACATTCATCGTTGAATAAGATTTCCTGTCCCCAACCCACAAATCTCTTGCACTTAAATTTCTTAGCTTCCAGTCTACTTACCCGAGGTTCCAAATAGCAACAATATCTAAACTATATTTATTTATCTTATTTAATATAGCTGTATACTTCTTATCCGCAACAAATCCTCTTGTGTTCCATGAGAGAAGCTTCATTTACGACCTCTGCCTCTCCCTCCACCTTTCCCCCCTTTCTTTCTGTTGTCTCTAACATCAGGAGGGTCAATCCAAATCTTCTTACCTTTGTCAGGAGCACTTGGATAAATTCTATTCTCCTTGTCAAGAACAGAAAATCGGGATCCAGTCTCAATAGCTCGAGCAGTCATCTAAGATAGCAAGCTCCCTTTCTCGGAAGCTGACTTACCACCAGCAAACTGTAGCAAAGGCGTGTTAGGGTTCCCAGCAACAGCTGATGACCCTTTCACCACCTCAGCAAAACTAACTCGACCCCCCCCCCCATTTGGTGTAGGGGAGACTTCATCCACAACAATTTGAGCCTACCCTGAACTCCCCTCAGGCAAACCCTACCCAATTACCTCATCAGTCAAATTATCCATAACACACTGAATAACAGACTCTTGCACTTGTTTAAGAATGTCTTCAATAGGATCAATCTCTAAGTTCTCCTCAACATTAAACTGAGCACACCTTAGGAATCCAGACCTGTTGAGGACCCTCCTCACAATTATGCCCAAAAACACAACACTTAGAGCACACCTTCGGAAGATTGCTACACTCAATTCTAATATCAAACGGAGGATCCTCATATGGGTAAATACGAATTGAGGAGGGAAATGAATAGTCAGTAGCAAGCTCGACACACGCCCGAGCAAACCCTAACTGACCTCCAACCCTCGTCTTCTAATCCATCCAAAATGGTCTCCCAATCATACTCGTCACCCACTCCAGCCCTTCCGAAGCAAGGTATTCTAGTGGAAGCCCCCAGATTTTTACCCAGATCGGCAGTGTTTCAATTTCAGGAACAATCGGTTGGATGCCTGATTTCCATTTTCGAAAGAAAATAGGATTACCTCTGAAATGTCATGGTCCTGACTGGAAAACCCAATTGCACGCAGCAGCATAAGGAAACTGAAACACCAGGAGCTTATTCCCAAACTTCGACACTCTGACAATGCCATCTCGCCCCCAGAGAGCATTCGCCCATGACTGCAGCTCTGGTATTTTTGGCCTAGTCCCAACAAACTGGCCAATAAGAGAATTCTTCCACCGCTCCGCTCCCTTCTCCTTCACCTCTTTCGAAAGGCGGAACCGTCTTGAAACTTGATCGGCGACCGATACTAGAGTCGATTCTCCGGAGCAACCTCAAACAGCTGCGCCCAGGAACTGCCCTCGCCAGCCGGAGCAGCCGACGGCGAGGCTGACATCGGAAACCCTAAAAAAACCAGAGAGAGGAGAGAGGGGAGAGGAAAAAAAGGCAAAATACAGTTTCATAGCCAAAACTTTCACGTTTGTGCCAATAATAGCCACATTTGGCGAAATACCACTTATAGCCAAGTCCGTCCAATTCTTTAACGCTGTTAAAGTTAAGTGTGACTGGGCAAACGGAGCAGCTTACGTGGACCGCCACAGATTTCCACGTGGACAATAATTAAAAAAAATTTACAAAATCAGAAACCACTAATTTTTACAAAGACCCACCTTTTTGCGCTCTCTTTCCTCTTTCCTTATCCTCTTCATCTAACCCCTCTGAATCCCATCGACGAAGATATCGACCACGAAGGTGACGAAGGAGGATCTTCCTCCGACGACCCCCCTACCACCGCTATTCCTTCCTCCACCATCAATTTTCCCTCATCCCCCAGTCTCGATTTTCTCCATCGATCGAGTTGAACCTACCACCTCCTTCCTCGAGAAACACATACAGAGGATGGGTTGACTAACCGACGCCGAGCTTTGGCCGAGTCCTTCGAAGCTTCTTCTCTTCTGCATGCTTTGGAGGAATCTCGGAATCGACCGACGCGATTCTACTTTGAAACCCTAATCTCACTTCAAAACTCGATTTGTGCTCTACCTCGTCAGTCGCGACTGGTAAGGAAACTTTCTTGGTTCTATATTATGGGTTTCATAGCGAGCTGTAATTGAATACTGAAGGTTTGAGGAAAGGGCTAGGTTCTTATAGTTTCATCTATTTTGGTTGGTAGCGAGCTGTAAAGACAGAGCAACAGGGCAGATAAATCTAGGGAGCTCGATGAGAAGGGAGTAGAGGATTCGTGGAGAGTGGAAAGTGGAAGTTTGGGGAAGAACCCTAATTCCCAAATCAGAAGAGGATTCGTGAGAGGAGAGGAAAATTGGGGACAAACCCTAATTTTTAATCGGGCCAAAGTTGGGGGCTGAAGGATTCGCTTCGACGCAAATGGGAATATATGGTAATTTTTTTTAATAATTTAATATATGACGTGTCCATAATTGCTTAGTTGGCGCTGACGTGTTCGCATTCTTCTCGCCAAATCAGCAAACCGTCTACTAATTTAACGGTGTTAGTAACACCGTCAATATTTATAACGGAAATGACTATATTTGTCCAACAACATTTTCAAAAGGTGGCTATAAGTGGTATTTCGCCAAATGTGGCTATTATTGGCACAAACGTGAAAGTTTTGGCTATGGAACTGTATTTTGCCGGAAAAAAATCCTAAATATTAGATGGTAAGGTATTCCAATTTTAAAATAATATGAACATCATATTTTTTATAAACAAAATACTTACAATTAGTTAAAGATGATAAAAATAAGATATTTAATAAAAAATATAGAGGGTTACTATTTGCCGCCCGGGTAATTACTATTTGCCGCCCGTAAAAAACACTAAAAAGACAATTTTGCCCTCCAAATTTTGTTTTATATTCTATTCTCTGAAATGGTTTTTTAAAATAAATTATATACCAATTATATACTAATTATTGAACTATCAATATTAAACTAATTAAGATACTAACAATTGTATTTAAAATAAATATAATAAATATTAATTTAAACCGAATAAGAAACTCAATCAGACCGGTCCGACCAGACCGGGCGGACGGGGTCCGCTCCAGCCAGGTGGACGGGGTCCGCTCCGGCGTGTCGGACGACGGCGAGAAATTGCAAGTTGATGGGCTCGTCCAATTCCAAACCTTTACACCTTGAGTCGAACCATTCTTACTGTATCTGTCCATTCCTTTACTTTCACAACTTTCACATCAACCTCCTCATTCTTCTTCTTAATCCTTGGTTCCGCACCACTAAAGTTCGCTTCTATATTCACCTTCTTGTCTCCTCTCTGCTCTCCCACTCCCTTTCGCACTTTTCCATACAGGGGAAGAAAAAAGAAAAAGGAGAAACATAGTTGGAATCGTTTAAAGTCGCGTCCGCTGTCGGCGTTTGGGTTCCTCTTCGGCGGCAGCTGATGGGCTCGGCGACGGCGGCAGCTGATGGGCAGCGGCGGGAGGTGGATGGCCAGAGGCTTCTCGGCGACGGCGACGGAGGTGGCTGGCCGGCGGCCTTCTCTTGACAGCAGCAGGTGAAGGGTTAGGTTGGAATAGGTTTAGGGTTTTAAAATGAGGTGGGGGCAATATCGTCATATTTTTCCTAACTACGGGCGGCAAATAGTAAAATTATGTGCGGCAAATAGGGCTGCAAATGAGCCAAGCTACTCGCGAGCAACTCGAGGCTCGAATCGGGAAAAACTCGTTCGAAACTCGATTCGTTTACTGACGAGCCAAGCTTGAGCCTAGCTATGTTCAGCTCGTGAAACTCGCGAGCTAGCTCGACTCGGTGGCTTGTTGAGCTCAACTCGTGAGTTAGCTCATTTAGAGCTCATGAGATGTCTCAACATTGTGGTTTGAGGGCCAACTTGATCACTGACTTATGGACTAATCGATCTAATTTGGACTTTCATAATTCATAGGATTGTTAAATTATATATCTCACATCATGTGAAGTTTAACATGTTGAACATGTAAGAAAATATGCCTTATTTTTAACTCTATAAAGAAATTATGTAAAAAATTATTTCGATACTATGAAATAACATGATTTGAACTAGTTAAAATTTATTAACTAAACAATATGACACCTAAAAATTATAATATAAGATTAATTAATGTTGAACATTTGATTATTTTTTTATCACTACATCAATCACATGTACCATACACGACATACAAAATGAATGTATTAAATACGATCTAAGAATTTAGTAAACAAGCCTAACTCGAACTCGACTCGACTCAGCTCGTTAATAAATGGCTCGGGCTCGAGCTCAGCTCATTTGTTAACGAGTCAAGCTCAAGCTGGGGTAAAACTCGGCTCAGCTCGGCTCATTTGCAGCCCTAGCGGCAAATAGCGATTCATAAAATATAATGACAAGAAGGAGGACTGGAGGAGTATAGGTCAGCCTGTGTCGCACGTGCTCCTGGCCTGGGGACTCTCCCTAAACCAGTCCTCTCCTCTCCCTCCCAAAATTCAATGCCTCCTTAATTTTATTTGTTTTTTTTATTTTCTAATAATTAACAATTTCGCCTCCTTCTTCTCTTCCTCTTCTTCACTCACCTCCATTTCTTACACACGCACAACAGTTCCCCTCTGAAACCATTTGTCCTCTTCTTCTTCTCTCTCACCCCTCTCCATTTCTCTGCAGACCCATCAAAACCCATCCCCCATCGCTTCAACAGTGACAACAGCTCACTCTTCACAATAATGATGATGGACGCAGCAGCAGCAGCCCTGAAGGGCGGTGGCGGCGGAAGGGTCGCCGTCGCCGCCGTCGTCGACGACGACATGGGCGACGGCATGCAGTGCAGCGACCACCCTTACCGCAGCAACCCTGGCGGGATCTGCGCCTTCTGCCTCCAGGAGAAGCTCGGCAAGCTCGTCACCTCTTCTTTCCCGCTCTCCGTTCGCGCCTCCACTTCCTCCTCCTCGTCCCCTTCCTTCAGATCTGACGGCCCTTCAGCGGCGGCTTCCGCGGCCGCCACTTCCCTCGCGCTTGCGGTACGCCCGTCTAGCTCTTCTTCTTCCACCGCCTACGGGTCCGCTCGAGGTGTTCGACGAAATGACTCAATGAGTAATGGCAATGGTACTCATAATACTAATGGTCAGTACAATAGTAGTGACTACTACAGCGCTTCACTCCGCAAGGCGAGGATCCCTTTCCTGCTCGCGAAGAAGAAGAAGAAAATCATGGCGACGTCGTCTTCGTCCTCCGAGAATCAACACGACGTCGTGTTCAAGCGCAGCAAGTCCACCGCGGCTCCGGGGAGGAGATCCGCCCATTTCTTCGACGACGGTGAGGATTTCACCCCTCGCAAGCGCGGTGGGTTCTGGTCTTTCCTCTACCATTCGACCTCCAGCAATCCCAAATCCAACCTCGATCCTTCCTTTGCTGCAAGTCGCAATAGAATCGATAATCTGCACAAGATTTCCTCGGTTCCCGCCGCAGCATCAGGAGCAGCTGTTTCTTCCAACATGGCGTCGTTTAGCTCTGCTTCTACTGCCAATCCTCCAGCTGTGCGGAAGGACAGGTGTTTGGGAGTTGGGGGATCGTCTCTGTCACGAAGAACAGAGATGGTGGTTGTGGAAGAAGACGAAGAAAGCCCCAATAGCCAAGCGACGAGCTCCAACTCTGCTGCCTCGTCATTCGAGAGGAAAGTATCTCGATCTAGATCCGTTGGTTGCGGGAGCAGGAGCTTCTCGGGTGATTTCTTCGAGAGAATCTCAACTGGGTTTGGCGATTGCACGCTGAGAAGAGTTGAATCACAGAGGGAAGGCAAGCCGAAATCTGGTGGGGCTATGAAGGAAAGGGTAAAGTGTGGTGGAATCTTTCGTGGGTTCATCATCACTTCATCATCTTCATCGTCTACGTCATCATCGTACTGGGTTTCATCGTCAGCCGAGGAGATGAATGGGAAATCTGGTGGCAATCATTTGAGCCATGGAAGGGCGAGGAGCTGGACCTGGGCTTTTGCTAGCCCAATGAGGGCGTTTGGAGGAAGCAATAAACCGTCTGGTAAAGACAACGGGAAGAGAGATCATCATCAGGTTATCAGGGAGACTGGGAATAGGAACTCTGCTGCTGCTGCTCCAAACTTGGCTGCCATTCCTTCATTGTTAACTGTGAGCAGCTAAAAGTAAAAATGAGTGATTGGACGAATCCCTTTCTTCTGTTTGCTTGGTGGGTCTATAATCTATATATATCACATCGCTACTACACAGTACATTTTGGGTTAAAGTAGTAATCTTTTTGTTCATTTTCGTGATCTGTTTCCCCTGGTTTCTTCTTTGCTGCCATCTCTACAATGTTCAGTTCCACATTCTGTAGTTTCATAACACCAATTACTTCTTCAAAGAGTCTATGGATTGGATCATATCTAATAGAGATTCCTATCTAGTCATTTCTGAACAGTCGTTTGTTATGTCTTTTTAGATGCAATGCCATCGAAAAGCAGAACCCAGGTGAGTTGATTCCCTGAGGGAAGCTTGAGTGAGGCTGATTGTGACTACTTGGGTGTTTAATGCCTGGAGGTTGAGAGACAGAGGAAGAGAGAGATAAAGCATTAGTGAGACTGGTTCGAATCCTTTGACCAAGAATACTTTCTCTGTCATCTTCCCTCTTCTTCCCTTCCTGTCTGTGAACGTGATCTAGAGATGCCTTTGCCAGCTTTTGTTCAGCTTGTATTTACTCAATTCTTTAACCTCTCTTTTGTGTAGTTGAGAGAGGTCTTTCAGCTTCACAGCTTTTGCTTGTAATTTGTTTATCAGTTGTTGTATTCTAAGGATAAAAGAGTGATTATCATGCAATGGCAAATTTGTATTATCAGAAGCAACTCACTCTCTCTGCTAAAGTTTTAGATCACTCACATGGGCACACATGTTGGATGATTACTCTCTCTCTCTCTCTCTCTACAATAAACACTTGCTGCTGCTGCTGTGGGCATTTAATATATTGGGGTGGTGTTGACTGTATTGAGGAAGTAGATGATCTATAGTGAAAGCTTGAAGGAGGGATTGCTTCTTCTGCTTTCTTACTTCACCTTTACATACATGAGCCATGTAAATGTACTGTATATGGTGAATGACAATAAATTGTTTGGCAGGGCATTCAGCCAGTAGCCTCCAAAACAGTATGACTGTATGAACTAATCAGGATTGAGTTTTCATTTTCAACCTCTGAATTTTCATGTCTGAGGTGTGGTAGATGCCAGATGGTAACTAATTGCCCTACCTCTGGTCGAACCTGTAACTGGAACTGACCAAGCCGAACTGAAGGAGGTTGTTCGAGCAAGCACATTCTTGGATGCCTAAGATCATATCTCTATCAACTCAGCCTGAATAGCAAGATGGGGAATCTCTCCATTCAGATTGGATCTAGATTACCGCTAATTCGCTCCAGACGTTTTACAACACAATGCTTTGTTACCGATCGACAACTAATCCCCCGAATAACACAACTTCAATCCACACCCCCTCCTTTCATGGTACACACTACAAAATTTATGAAATGGCCCAAATTATTTACATGATCTAAGTTGAAAAAGATGGCTCAAAGATGAAAACAAGGGACCTCATATGAAAGTCAGGGCAGGGGGAACTGTATGAGAAAACGAAGTATGAGGAAATGATGAAATGGAAGAGGACAAGGAGGTTTGTGGTGGTTGGGGTTCCTTTTCAAATGGAGTAATAAGTAGTAGAAGAAGCAGAAGAGGGCAAAAGCAAGAAGACAAACTGAAAAGGCTGCATTTGGGGGACACTGATATTGGAAGCAGACCATTAACAAGCAAGTAGGACCCCTTAATTTTAAGGGACATCATGTACATTTTCCCCTTCCTAATCCTACCCAAATCTCTTCCCTTTCTCTGTTTCTCACCATCATTTTTCCTTTCATCCAAGCCCACAAAGCCAAACCAGTAGCCAAACGTAGAAGTCCTTTTGGGAACTTGCATGATAGAAAGCAAACAAGCCCCTTTCTTGCTTTTCATCCTAACATCTTTTTGGAAGCCAAAAGGCAAGATTGCAAGCAAGCTTTGTCCTTAGCATTAGTAGGTCATTATTATCGACTATTTTTCCCACCAACAATCTCTGTGTCCTCCCTCTCTCATTCATGTGCTTCTGTGGCTTTGGTCTGAGGAGATGGGGATACTATTGCAATTATAAGAGGACCCCATTGACAGATTTTGCCATTTTAGATTAAGGCTCCCCCTAGCCCTTATGAGGAAATATCAAGCAACAAGAAGACCTTACCCCCATATAGAAAAATATCAGTTTGTTGAACAATGTAGTTAAAGTCTCACGACGTTTACCGTCGTTGGAATGCACACTTGATGCTTTAGAGTTGTCAGATGAATGCAGAGCGTTTTACTAAAAATATGACGTTCATGATCAAAATGAACACTATGATTTGAGCATTTTAGTAAATTTGGGTGCTTAAGGGCCATGCTTATTCGTGATACAACAGAAAATTATGTAGTGATATTCCACATTCAATATTTTAGTGTAACTGATGTTGTGGAATGAGAATTTAGGAATGTTAGGTCGGACTCTTACCCATTCAACTTCAAAGTGTTGACTTTAGCTAATCAAACAAACGCACCTGTATAACCATCGAAGACTGTTGAAGTGCAAGAGACTAACACACAGATTTAACGTGGTATGCTTGGAACGCACATCAGGTTTTCTTAGTGGTCAATTTTGTGCATTCCTTACGGGGCATGAGTACAAAACACACGCAGCCAAAGGCCCTAAGATGAGAGTAATCTCGGTGACGGGAGTACAAAGCAAAATACAGACTACCATTTTGGAGGACAGGAGTGACTTGATAGTTGATGAGACGAACGACAGTAACAACAGCTTCAGGCCAGAACCGAGAACGAAATTGAGACTCAATAAGAAGTTCACAGGTAAGGTGAAACACATGTCTATTTTTACGTTCACCTAGACCATTTTGTTGTGACACCCCATGACAAGATTTCTGACCTAGGGTACCTAGAAACCTGTACAATGCCAATAACGGGTTCGAGCTGAACTCACCACCAGGGTCAGAACGAAGAATTTTGACGGATTTATTAAACCGAGTTTGCACCATTTTTAAAAACTGCTCAGCTATGGCTCGAAAATCAGATTTAAACCTCAAAAAATAAACTCCTGTAAACCTGGTGGCATGATCGACAAATAAGGCAAGGTACCTAAATTCGATTCGTGAAATAACATAAGAGGGTCCCCAAATATCAGAGTGGACAATATGGAAAGGATCAAATATCACAGTGGAACTAGATGAAAACGAAATACTGATCATTTTAGCCTCAACACAGCTAGGGTAGTTATGTTTAGACAAATAATTAACATTCCTAACAAAGATTAACGAGACATTTGCAAAAGACGACCTGATTGGGATGACCCAAACGGGAATGCCATAAATCCCAAACATTATTTGACTACTGGGAAGACTACAAAAAAACTAGACAAGAAAGGACTACTGATGGTGTTACGAGACGTGGGGGCTGACAATGACTCGGATGATGATGAACTGGTGAGTTCTTCTAACTGAAATAGCCGCCCCTACTTACTCCCTCTTCTGATCTACCTCCCCATCTTCATGTCATGCACAACACAACCAGACGGTGCAAACGTAACCGAACACCCCTGATCAGTAAGTTGCCCAACGGAAACCAGGTTGGGCACAAGTTTAGGAACATGTAAAGTGTTGGGCAATTGAATTTTGGGTTGTCTAATACACCCCATGCCTTGTACACGTATGTTCTCACCATTAGCAACACGTAAATTCAAATGACCAACTGGCTGAATACTATTAAGTACATCGGAATCATTAGTCATATGATTAAAACAAGCTGAATCCAGGAGCCATGGTGAAAACTGTTTACCTGTAACATGAAGTGTAGCGAATGCCGAACTGAGGGTCGTAGGTAAAGACTTCTTCAATGCGGCATGGCGTTGCTGATCAGGTATCGACAGCTCCTACCGAGTGACAGAGGACGTGGGCACTTTGGGGGGCTTTCCATGGTGCTTCACGAACAACCTGCAGTCAAGAATGATATGGTTGTCTTTCTTGCAGTACACACACAGTTTACGACGACCGCAATATTTTTGAAGATGTCCTTTTTCTTTGTAGTGATGATAGTGTAACTCGGACATGGGCACCCGTCGCTGGAATTGAGGGCGTCCGGCAGTGAAGGCAACATCCACCTCACCCGCATCAGCAACGAGTGAAGACTCTCCATCTTCAAGTCGAATGTCCAGCTTGGCATGTGTCCGTAAGCGTGTTTCCTCGTGTACCAAGTCTCCAAACACCCCTTTTATTAACAATGCGGTGAGATAGGCCGTAACCTCCCGATCTCCTTGTTCCAACCTGTCCAATGCACAATGCACCTCGTATTGCTTTGCGGCACTAGCAGTAGAGTAAGTAGCCGCTAATTGTTTCCACATCTCATTAGTGGTCTTATGGATACATAGACTGAGACAAATATTAGGATCAACTAAGCGTAAAATCCACAATCTTACCCGAGCATCCTGAAGGTTCCACCGATTGATCTACTCAGCGCGGCGGTTGAGTCGAGCTTTGGGACTGAATGGACAACCTCACAGAATCGGTTGCCAAAATCTCTGATACCATGTTAACTTTAGCTAATCAAACAAACGCACAAAGAGACTAACTCACAGATTTAAGGATTAATTCCCTAAATACACATTAAACTAAACCAAATTCCTAAACTACCACACTTATAAAAAAAATTCCCAAAATACCTAAGTTTGGAGTGGTTCGAGTTTGAGGAACTCGAACTACTAACCGGTTCAAGTGTAGAAGACTCGATCTACACGTAAATCGATGATATAAGCCTCGAACCATGTGGGGCTGAAGTGGTTCGAGTTCAGTGAACTCGAACCACTACTTTGAAATTTCCAATCACCATAACTTTGTCCTCGGTTATCCGATCGTAGCAAACTTTTTTTTCATTTCGCATAACTTTTTGAGGACTACAACTTTTATAATAGAAATATTTTCAGAATATATGTGAAAATGTGAAAATTAAAGTTAAAGTTACTCCCAAAACCCCTTATATTAAAAACTATTTCTATTTTGAAAATTTATTCCTAGTAAATGTTGTAGTACTCAAAAAATTATGCAAAATCAAAAAATAATTTGCGACATTTGGATTGCGGAGCACAAAGTTATGATCCTCCAAAGTTTGACAAATTTGAAATTTGCTCGTTTAATTTATGGGTAGCAAATGACGTTTTCTAAGATAGCCATCCAAAAATGTCTTGTTTGTAAAAATATTGCTCTTTTGGCAGAAATTTCCTATGTATAAAAAAATTTCCCGTGCCTTCGCCCCGAGAAAATGTCATTTGTTACCCCTAAACGAGCAATTTTTCGATTTTGCCAAACTTTAGAGGATCATAACTTTGTGCTCCGTAATCCAAACGTTGCAATGTTTTTTTTTATTTTGCATAATTTTTTGAGTACTACAACATTTACTAGGAATAAATTTTCAAAATAGGAATAGTTTCTAATATAAGGGGTTTTGCGAGTAACTTTAACTTTAATTTTCACATTTTCACATATATTCTGAAAATATTTCTATTATAAAAGTTGTAGTCCTCAAAAAGTTATGCGAAATGAAAAAAAAGTTTGCTACGATCGAATAACCGAGGACAAAGTTATGGTGATTGGAAATTTCAAAGTAGTGGTTCGAGTTCACTGAACTCGAACCACTTCAGCCCCACATGGTTCGAGGCTTATATCATCGATTTACGTGTAGATCGAGTCTTCTACACTCGAACCGGTTAGTAGTTCGAGTTCCTCAAACTCGAACCACTCCAAACTTAGGTATTTTGGGAATTTTTTTTATAAGTGTGGTAGTTTAGGAATTTGGTTTAGTTTAATGTGTATTTAGGGAATTAATCCCAGATTTAACGTGTTATCTCTGGAATGCCACGACTAATCCACGAGAGAGGCCAACTCTCCAAGCTGAAAATCGCACTAGGTTGCGTGGTTCTTCTCGTCCGTTTACCAAGTGTATAAATAGCCCTCTACACCCTAGCATTACACGTGTGCTCCTGCTTGGGTGTATGGGCTTAGGCCGATCAACAACAAGATATACGTTGGCCCATTAAACTTATACATAATACGCTAACACAAGGTTCTTAGATAAATAAAAACATAAAATTATGTTTTTAAAATGACTATTTTTATATTGCACTTGTACACCATCAACTAAAGTGACTAACCCGATTGGGATGCTTACAATCCACTAAAACAAGATTAGTGATTGATTGAGGTCTGTGTTTGTGGGGAAATGGGATCAAACCTGCCCCTCTATTTGTTTAGTTTTGTGGTGGATGGATATACAGTGCCTCCGCATTGCAATTGCTCCCGTTGCATCTATAGAACAGAGAAGATTTAACAGCTGATCAATAGTCATGTTTATATGGTGTAGCATCATAAACAGAGCCATGTACTATAGCTTAACAGGAAAAACAGCCGTTTGCTTGCACCCATGTTTCCATTGGCATTGCAAAACACAGTCCCGTGGAAGTAGATCAAGCCCAAAAGGCCGTTGATGGTACCAAGCAGGGCCTCAGTAGCCATTGGGCCCATCGCCGTAGCCGCCATGATCAAGAAGGACACCATGAAACTTTCTATGCCAGTTGTACGAGGAATTGAAGGGAGTTGTCTGCTATTTTGATATGGAAAACAAATGGTCCCAACTATGAACCCAGAAGAACAATTTCCTGAATTCCCACATCTCCAATCCTTCAGAACCCACCAATTAATCACATTCTAGCAGGTAGCAGCTGCAGCCTCACTCTTTCTGAACCACACCTGCAGAAGGCGAGCAGTATTTAGTATTTACCAACTCGACTTCTCATGCTACAGGCTGCTACCTCAAGACCAAGACCTACAGCCTTCTACCATGAGCGACTTTATTTTGAAAACATCCACCATGACACCATATCATTCCAGCTCATAATACTAGAGAAATCCAGATTCAGGAGTAAACTGGGATTCCAGAATACCTTGCCCAAACTCCTGTACTAAACAGAATCTACTCGCCGAAAAAGAAGATTCAAAGCATCCCATTCAATGTAGCCTCAGATGTCCTAAAGATCACCAACACAAATCCAAAAGCAATCGACCTGTGATATGCAATAATTCCATGTTCGCTCCAACACCCCATCTCCATTTTCCATGGTGAGGAAGAAGTTCAGAATGAGGAGCTACATCAGGACATACAACTTATCAGGCGGATGAAGTGCTGGAATAAAATCAGTATTCCGTAGAGCTAGCCTAGCCAGACTTGCTCAAAGCAAACCCAGGCTCTCTTGCGCTCGTAATGGGCACCAAGATGCTAGGACTAAATTGGTACAATGGTGAGAGAACAAGTCAATGCTGCTGCCATATTGATGTCTAATAGAAACCAAGATGAAGGCAAGGCAAAGTATGAACTGCAGCATCTAGTTTGAACAGATAAGGAAAGGATATCAACTCATATGGATTTGTTTTCCAAGACACTGATGATGATAAGAACATAGGAGTGTCCATATCGAAAGAGATATTACGTGTAGCTGCAAGGGCATCAAAGGCAAATATCGCTACACTGGGACAAACTGTGCTGCAATATTCAGAGAACTATGCTATTTGATGTCATTAACCAGGAGAAAGAAGAACTTGTATGTGCCTAAGTTAAAGAGGACATTTCAGCACTTCAGAGCACATGCTGGGGGAACCAATGATTCAATTCAAGCTACAAAAAAACACCCGACGCTTAATGTCCTGGATGTCTAGTCTTCTAAGAAGATATTCTGCAATCTAAGGAATCATTCCACATCTTTCTATATGATATGAGCTAAGCTATGCAAAAGAGCGACCAGTTTGCCAAACAGCATTTGGTAGTGGGTCCAAGTGTTGTAGTGCTGAGTGGAAATGTAATCACAATACTAGGGCTATTGCTAGAGACGAAACATGGACATAAGAGATTCAAATGGATCCAGTAGCAATACCAGAAACTGTAGAAATCTGGAAAAGCTAATATTGTGTCAACAAAATGGTAGAAAGATAAAACTTCACCCAAATGTAAGCAGGCACATCATTGAAGAAATTCGGGTTCTTAAGCACAAAATTGTCAACCAAGGCAAACTGTGATATAGATAGAACTCGGCAAAACTCACAAATTTCAAGACTTTCACATAAACCCTAAATGCAAATCAAAACTAAGATTCTCGATTGGGCAGAAACGATTACAGAGATAACTCTCAATCTTCCTCCTCGCCTTCGTTCTCGGCAATATTAAAGTATCTCAGCTCGTAGATGGAACGGTCCTTGTTGGAAGCGATCACACGAAGCCAATCCCTAACATTGTGCTTCTTCAAGTACTTCTTCGTCAAGTACTTCAGGTACCTGAGACGAGCCAGAGAAAATCAGAAACTAGGGGACACCAATTTAAGAGCTGAAGGGCAAAAGGACAACAAAAGTCGCCGGAGAAATACCTCTTGGAGAAGTTGGAATCAGAGGTGACTGTGATCTTCGACTTCTCGCGGGTGATGACGACGGCGTCGCCGAGAGCTCCGGCCTTGCCCCCGACCTTGATGCGCTCCTGGAGGAACTTCTCGAGTGAGGCGATGTCCATGATCTTGTCCTCGACGGGCTTACCGCAGTCGATGGTGAAGGTAACTCCCTTCTTCTTGCCCTTGGCGCCGGCGGCACCACCTGCTGCTCCGCGGCTCATTTTCGTTCCCTCCTTCGACTTCCTTCCGCTACCTCTACTAAAAAACAGAGAGAAAGAGATCCGTGAGTGAGCTAAACGAAGAAGGAAGGAGCCATGGAAGTGAGAGGCGGAGAGAGAGGGGAGCTTACCGGTGAGAATTGGCAGAGATTTGCAGCGCGGCAGGAGCACGAGGGAGAACTAGGGTTTTGGTTATATAGATAGGCTATATGCGTTTAGGTCTGGGCTTCAACTGGATAAAGCGCGCGTGGGCTTCCATGATATTTGGACTCTGTTTCTGGGAAGCACATTTTGGTCCAAGAAGAATAATCCAGCCCAATCGCTGAGGGTATCCTTCCCACCCTTACTTGGCAGGGAAGGCAAGGTCGAACATCGAAAGTCTTTGAAACCCTGGAACCTGATTAAGGGGCTAGCATCAGTGGACGGAACCGGCAGACAAAGAACGTTCTCATAAGAGGATTTGTATAATTAGTAGTCTCTGGTAAAAGTAGGATGCTATTCATTACGAGTCCTTAATATACCGAATTTAGTAACCACAGAATAATGTATGATTCTTTCTCCATACATGTGAGGATAATTGAGGGGCAAACGTTTCTTGGTAGATTGAGATATTATGATGGTATAGCTACATGCTTCATATTGTGTTTATTCGCATGATTTTAATAGACTTGCTAGAGTTTTTTGTGGTAAATTCTTTTAATTAATAACTCGATTAGTTCTCGACTACTGCCTTTGGTTTTGTTGTGTTTATGCTCCGTGCATTTCTCTTATGATAAAACTAGGTAGGTTGTCTTGGAGAGATTTACCACAATTTTAGTCTTCATATTGTACAAAAATGGAAGCCGCCATTCATTCTATTGAAGGTGAAGGGGCCAAGGGGGTAATCTATACGCATTATCATTTGATCTCTCGACATAAGAACAAAGGAGGGGGGAAGATGAACAGATCAAGTCAAGGTTGTCAACCCGCGGGTTGACCCGGACCCGGTCGAGTTAGTGGGTCAAGGGTTAATGGGTCAACCATTTTAGCCCGGTTTGGCCCGGAAATATAGAAAGAGTCATTATATTGCACTTATCCTCATAAATTATATCAAATCTTATCTAACATATGAGTTATAACATATAATATTACACCAAAATAACATATCGTACTTAGATCCAACATATAGTGAAAATTCACACACAACATAAATATTCAAATGTTCAACTTAGTATTCCAAAGATTGAGTTAGGCGAAAAAAAACTTGGAAAATAGGCGCATTTCGCAAACTAAGGAAAAAATGATACAATTTGACCTCCAACCATGTACTTAATAGCGGTCGGTCCGGCGGGTACGTACGGCCTGTTTTTCTCACCGGGTTAGCGTCAAATTTGGTCGACCCGTGGGTCAACCCGCAGGTTGACAACCTTGGATCAAGTTAAAAGAGGCTACCCAACATTTAGTTTACCGGAACAAACATAATTTCTTCTCTTAATTAGCTTATTTCTCTTAATTAGCTTCTTTTTTTTCCCCCTCTCGTTGCGGCATTTCGTCAAACACTTTGAGTGCGTTTTGGGAACAGCGGATAGATGGGTCAGTTTGGAAGCTAATTAAGAGAAATAAGTTTGGAAGCTCCTGGTTTTTTTACTACCATCAATTCACACTTCCGTTCCTTCCCGCGAAAAAGAAGAGCGTGCAAAGGGAAAAGAACAAAAAAAAAAAAAAGTTTATTAGCTAAGAAGTAAGAGCTAGGGATGGCAGATTTTGTTTGTCCTCAAGGTTGCCCCACTCCTTTCTTGTTAGGCTTGCCATACTCAATTATCATTTCTTGTTTGAACAAATCCGTTTTCACCGGAAAACCTACATTTGGCGATGATGATACAAAAAGGCCGGACTTACGGCTGCTGCCATTCGCCTGTTCGTTTGGCCTTGGTAAGAATCAAATCTATCTATACACTTCTTTCACCCAGGCCAGTTCCTCTTCGCTTTGGTCGGATTGATTTTTCCATTCAGTTTGTCTCGGGTGGCCAGTGCCGCATCGCTGACACCCGCAGTGACCGACATGGTTTCAGAATCTCCTAGCTAAGTTCCAGAGAAGAACTTACGTGAAGCTAGCGACGCCTAAAAAGTCAGCTCCAGTGGAGCTAGAGACGCCGGGTCGGCGATAGTAAACTTTGTAAGGAAAGAATCATCGATGGCGCTCCTCTTCCATATCCAAATCTGCTGATATGAGGTCGTTATACGGGAGGTCTTTCCCCGGTTTCACTCTTCATGCCGCCTCACAGGCTCTTCAATTGTGATGGTCTGCGGGCGAATACGGTGGTTGTTTCGCCGGAAAGTTCCATCTTTGAGAACTCTAGCGAATTTATTTCGCATTAAAGGCTTCGGTTTTTGGAGTGATTCTTTTTCCGTCATCGGTTATGGGATCCCATTTCTGAATTCCTATTAAATCCCAAATTCCCAATTTAATGGAGTTAACGTTCCTTTAACGGGGGGTCAACATGGTCAGGGGGTTTCAGTTTCCTGGCATAGATAACCCTCAGTTGGTGGAGCTTCTTGCGCTCAGGGAACCTGTAGTTTGGAATCCCGGCCAGCTGTGAAGCTCCTCCGGTGACTGGAAACAATTGCCTCCGGTGACTTTGTTGGTCCGGCGGTCCATGCAATCAATTTTCCTCCGGCGAAAAGTAAATAACCAATTAATGGCCTCATTGGTCCATTTATTTGGATTTTAATACATTAGTTATTTTATTGGATGTTATTGGGTCCTTAATGATCCGTTACAAGTGATTAATGAGTCACTAAAGCGGTCCTTTTATGGCGCTTTACAACCTTTATGGTTGGTTTATATTTCAAATTATGGGATAGAAAGAATTAACTTCTGACGGTCATAATTAATTTTTGACTTTTAGAATTAATTCATTTATGGTTTTCAAAGTACCAGAGGAGTAAACTGTCTAGTTCGCTGCCCGGTTTGCTGAGAAGACCGGAAAGTCTTGAACATCTGTTCTTCAAATGCCCCTTGGCCACAAGATTGTGGTCGCTCATGGGTCTAAATGATTTCATCTCCTCGGCCCCGACTGTGAATTTCAGTCTCTGGTGGCGACATGTTATGCTTTCTGAGCACCCCCAAACCCACATTCTCCTATACGTTTGTGTATTATGGAGGATCTGGAAGTCTAGAAATAAGGTGGTCTTTGAGCATGTCCAGCCTCATGCCCAGTCTCCCGCTCGTCAGTGTTTTTTTCCAAGTTCGCGAACTGTCTTCCTCCCTTCCTTTGGTCCCTGCTCCGCCCCAGCCTTCCCGTTCTCGCCTCTCGTCTTGGTCCCCTCCTCCTGTTGGCTTTGTGAAGATCAACTTTGGTGCTGCTGTTCGTCCTTCTGGGTGCTCGTCTGGTCTTGTGGTGCGCAGTTCAGATGGGCATGTGGCTCTGGCTTTAGGGTCTCTCCATCCCGGTATTGCTGATCCCTATCTTGCGGAGCTCCTAGCAGCTAGGGACGCCATCGCCCTTGTAGTCTCCAAAGTGCTGCCTCGGGTCATCATAGAAGGAGATTCAGAGTTGGTGATTCAGCAGCTTCGTCAAGGTGCTCTCTCTGACTCCATTGGAGTTCCGGTGCTTCGGGATTGCTCCCTTCTCCTTTCTTCCGTCTCTATTTCTTTAGAGTTTAGGGCAGTTCCTCGGACTGCTAACAGTGCTGCCCATAGAGTGGCGCAGAAAGCACTGTTACTCTCCCCTTTAGAGTTTTGCGCCTTTGATTTTGTGGGTTGGCTTCTCTGATGTATTGGGTTGGGCAGGGTCGGGGTAGATTGTATAGGTTTTCTCTTGACATTTCTTGGAAAAAAAAAAGAGCTAGGGATGGCAATAAAACCCAAACCGACGGGTATCTTATCCGACTTAATTTGGTCAATGCGGGTAAAATTCATGTTGACGGGTTTTGAGTTGGATTCGGGTTTAAATTCGTTACACTTTTACTGTGTAGGTTTGGGTTTAGAGATACCCGACCCCATGGATACCCGCTCACACATATTCCGTCGCCTACTCTCTCCAATCCCTACCCTAATTCTAATCCCCCAATGTAATTTTCAATTTGTATGGATAATTTGTGATGTGTTTGAATTTTCTAGACTGGTGTTTTAAGTATGGAGAAATAGATGTTTGACTTCTATTTTGATAGGAACTTGTTATTGTAAATTTTTTACCACAAAAATCAATGGGTACCCATGAATCCGTGGATACCCAGTGGGTTGGGTAGGGTTTGAGTTTTCCAAACCCATTGGGTTTTACCCGGGTTTTTTTTACGGATAAACCCATGAATTTGGTTTGGGTTTGGCAAAACCCAACCCAACCTGACCCATTGCCATCCCTACTAAGAGGCACTCTTCTTAGCTCTTATTGTCGATCTGGTTTAGCTTGTTGGTTTGCTTAGGTCGAATTAATGGTTAATGGTTCAACCATTTAGACAGTACAAGATCAATACAAAAGTTGACCCGTGAATTGACAACCTTGTTCATGATTTAATTATTTTGGAAAATCCAATTTTTTTCCCTTTTTGATGAATCATTGGGTTTCATTCATCAAAAAGAGTGGTGCTAGCAACAAACCTTGCTAGCTAGGTATAATACTCATATCGCAAAGACAGTGAATAAGCCTAAACTCAAGAGCAGCAAACAGACAAAGATAGCTAACTATCCCAGAATAGGTGAACTCTATGACTACCTAGGAAACATTCAATTTCAGATTGAATCACCCTCAACAATGTGTTATAATCCCTCACTTTAGCTGAGTACAAACGACGACACCGTTCCCTCCATATGTGACTCACCCATGCTTGCAAGATTATCCTCCCAGTTTCGGCAGCCTCAGAAGCACCTCCAAATTTGGACACCATCAAAGTCAGCACATCATCCCACCCCTGCAACGAAGGAACCTACATAAACCTGAAAAAGGGGCATCTAAAAGCTGTCTTGCAAACGTGCAGAGAGCATAAATGTGATCTCTGTCCTCCATCCCAACTCCACACAAACCACAGGTTAAACTTCCACTATACCCCCAACGCTGCATCTTCACTTTTGTGTTTATGCTCCCTCTAATAACAAGCCAAGTGACAATTCTGTTCCTAGGAATGACCTTCCCCTTCCAAACCAGTTTCCACCAACCTACAGTCTATTGAACAGGCCGCAGGAGTTGCAAAA